CGAGAAAATAACAAAAATAATGAACAACCATATACCAGAGACATTTTGTGGGGGTGGAGTAGGGAATGGGATCAAAAACGGGGTGGGGGAGGGAAATGCACGGGATTATGGTGATGGCACACGGGTGACTTGGTGATGGGAAACCCGCGGGGATTAAAATTGAGAAGGAAAAAAAATGTACAAAATGATGTAAAAATAAACTTTTGTAATCAAAAAAAAAGCACTGCAAAAAAATTGTCTCAACACATTGTCAGATATCCTTTTGGGGTTAAAATTGTCACTGGTTAAGGCAGGGGCAGGCAAATGAAATATATTGTCATATTTTTAGCATTTATCATAGCTATGATCTGTAGTTCTCATTGCTTGTAAGTAATATCCAATTCCCATGACTTCTTTGTGCTTTTTTCTCTTGATCAGGCTTCAGTACGTATAGAACAGTATTTAGTAACTATACTTTACTTAATAAGTTCCAGGTACTGTGAGTCTTAGAAATAAACCATTTTATGCCTATTCCTTATATAACTACAAGGAAGCCACATGTTCACTAACCTTCTCCACTCACATTTATTCACTAAATGTCTTTATTAATTTTCTTGAGGTTGTCTGGGTTCTGATTCACAGTAGATAGTATGTTCTTCTGGGTTAAAACTGTGCTTTTTCCATCTCTGTATTCAAACACTTTTGTTACCTAACACCGTAAAAGAATCTCAGTAGTTACGGAATTAATTGTTCATTAAATTCATGTTTCAAAATCTAGGCTTAGAATGAGCACTTACAGTTGGAAATTTCTAGAAAAATTTATGTCTGAGCACATATTATTGGTCCAATTAAAAATAAGTTAATATAAAAGGTGGAAATTACAGAGTATACTGGATTAAAGCTCAGTAATGCTTGTTCTGATCCCTATTTTTCAACAGACTAGCTACTAACTTCTGCATGGCCTCAGTATCCTCTCTCTGTTATGATGCTAAATAAATAATTTTCTTTTCTTTTTTTTTTTAACAGTTTATTTATGCATACAGAAATGGGGTACAGCCAGAGGTGCAGGGGCAGCGAGAGGATTCACCAGAAACAGAGTGGGGAGAAGCACGGGCAGATAGACAAAATACATTGCTGAGGGGAGCAGTGGGCAAGACAGGAGAGGTCTGCTGCACCATGTATATCACCTCCAGGGCTGGAATCAAACTTGCACTGAAGCGGTCATAGCTTGGCTGAGCTTCCTAGTGCAGTGCTCCAACCTGCTGCACCACCAGGGAGGGCCCACTAGATGATTTTTCTAGGAGTCTTTAGAATTCCAAAACATTCTAGAGTGACCCAGCACCAATTCACCAAGTCAAATGAAGAAATTATAAAGTTCACATAACTTTGAATAACATTTAGACAAATTTAACACCTTTGGTTGAGGATTTGATGGTCAGAAAGGATCTACTAACATCATTTGCCTTTGACAACCCGAGCTAACAATCCTCAGACCATGTATCAAATATCCTTTCTTGGGATGTAATATTTATTAAAATACTGCTACTCAAACCAAAGCTCTTCTGACTAAACCGAAGAATAAATGAATTATCACATTCCCAGACTTTAAATTACACTGCAAAGCCACAGTTAAAACAGTATGGTACTGGAACAAAACAGACAAAGCAATGGAATTGAATAGAAAACTCAGAAATAAAGGCACACAAATATGGACAACTAATCTTTGACAAAGGAGCAAATAATATGCAGTGGGGTAGCGTCAGTATGTTTAATAAATGGTGTTGAGAAAATTGGACCACCACATGCAAAAGAATGAAAGTACACTACTACCTTCCACCATGCACAAAAGCTAATTCAAAATGGATAAAAGAACTGAACATAAGACCTGAAACCGGGCCCTCTTTGTGGCACAACGGGTTAAAGCTCAGCACTGCAAGTGAGCTGCAGCCTCTTCAGTGTGAGTTCAATCCCAGCTCCGGATGTGACCCACATGGTAAGGAGAACCTCGCATGACCCTGACCCATGTGCTGCCCCCTCAGCAATGTTTTCAGTTGAGCTGCCTGTTCTTCTCCCTACTCTGTCTCTGGTGAATCCTCTCACCACCCCTGTACCTCTGGTCGACACCTCAGTTCTGTATGCATAAATGAATAAAACTTAAACAAACAAAAAAGAGCTGAAACCATAAAATATAGGCAAAACACTACATGATACACATCTCAGTAACATCTTTAAAGATTCATCCTCCAAAGCAAAGAAAGTGAAGGGAAGATAAACAGAGGGGATTACATCAAACTAGAAAGCTTCTGTATAGCAAAAGAAACATTAACCAAAACAAAGAGACACCTTACTGACTGGGAGCAAACTTTTGCACTCCATACAATTGGTAAGGGGCTGATCACAAAGACCTACAAAGAGCTGATGAGATTCAATAAAAAGAAAGTAAACAATGTCATCAGAAAAGGTCAGAAGAGTTAAAAAAAAATACTTCTCCAAAGAGGAAGTGCAAATGGTCAACAGGTATATGGAAATATGTTCAATATCACTTATAACCAAGTCAAAACCACAGTGAGATACCACCTTATACCAATGAGAATGGTATATGTTAAAAACACTGACAATAAATATGGGCAAGGATGTGGAGAAAAAGGAATTATCCTACTCTTCTGTTTGGAGGCTCCTCAGACTACTAAAAATGAAGCTATCATATGATCCAGCAATCCCACTTGTAGAACAACAAAAATTAATTCAAAAGGATAGCTGCACCACTATGTCTGTTGCAGCACTATTTACAATAGGTAAGGTATAGAAAAACCCAAATTCTCGAAAATAGACGACTGATCAAGAAGATAAATTTATGCCATTTACAGCAGCATGTATGAAGCTGCAAGGGATTATGTTCAGTTAAATAGAAGGAAAAAGAAAAATATTGTTTCACTTACATGAGGAATATAAGGAACCAAATAAGAGATCAGGGGAAAAAAATAATCAGCCATTCGGCAAGGGAGGGAGAGGGAAAGGGATCAAAACAGAAGGAACAGCATAAGGGATGCTGCATGGGTGAATGGTGGGAATTTTACAGGAGCTATACCTGAGAGGAGACAGTAAACATTGTACAAAAATAAACAATTATGCAAAATATATTAATCAGTTAATTTACTTCTTTAGCAATTATTTAGACATTAGTTAACTAATAATGAATTATAAACTAATAATTAGTTGTTTAATTATATGTATTTTATAATATATAAACATAAATATATTATGATTGTATATTAAAATAATATTTTAGTTAATAGGTTGAATGACTAAAGTTATTAAAAATAATGCTATTCAATGTAATAGCAGAACTTGGATAAATGCAGAGAAAAACTTGTTGTTTCACAAGTCAAGCATATAATCTAAAATTTCCAATAGATAGATTTAGAAGACTTCTGCTATGATGGCTTAAACTCTCCAAAGGAGAGATCCCTCCCAGTAATGAGAAAGAGTAGTTATCCCTACCTTTCAATGGTCTTAAGAGATAGTGGGTTACCAACCCTCTGTAAATGCATGCACAATTGGGTATTCTGAAACTTTTATTCCAGTACTATGTGAGACCTCTGTTGTGAGAGAAATAGCAAGATGAAACCAGGGATGGATGAAAGAGTTTACTGGAGACAGTGGAGAACAGAAAAGGCAAATTTATTGAAATACACTGCTGAGAAAAGCAGCTAGAAGGGAGAAGTACTTGGGGGTCCTTTTCAATAACCTATTTCATAGACTTTTCATGACTGGGGAGTTGGAATGAGCTGGTTAGTGCTGGGATGTCTGGTCTAGGGCATGGACTTATGACACAGAATGCATCCTGGCCCTGCTTCCACATTCATGATGGAAGGGATCAGTCTGATGACATGGTTTCCATCAATAACCTTATTGATTACCTTTAATCTATACAAGCTACCTTTAATCTACACAAGCCTCATAAACCTTCCTACTGGAAAAGGGTCTAGGCTCAGTTTTAACCTTATTAAATGATACCCTGACAACTACATGACCATATGCCTTTGTATTTTTGTACATAGTTCTCTAGATTCTCTTTATCATTCTGAGTCATTATGGATTTAACATATTGTCAGTAAGTGATGGATCAAGCTGATGGTCATCCTGCTCTAGGGTTATCGTCACACACAGAATTGGTATATGGCTTGAGTTCACACATTACATCATAAATGATATGTAAATAAAAGCTTTTACTTTTTCATGCTGTGGTTCTTGAGTTTATACTAATAAGGTAGTCATCCTCAGATCTAAGAACTTATCTTTAAAATCTTTAATTCAATATTCTTGATTTGTAGAAGGTAAAATTGAAGCACTGTGTTAACTTTTGTTTAGTGACAAATTATAATCATAATAAGTTTTCCCATTTTATAAACCTTACTCAGAATGTGATCTTTCAATATTGGAGCATCAGTTAGAATTTGCAAGGGTATTTTCCTGTGGTCTTATGTGTGTGAGTAGTGTTTTTGTGTACCTCGGTAGGTTTTTGTCCAGGTTTCAGCTTCATCAAAGTGTATATCTCCTCCAATACCGGGCCCGGGTCCAAAGGCATGGGCTAGGATTCCGCCTTTGCCACTAAAAGGATAATTGTCTCCATGTTCTTTACAAGAAGGAAAGAAAATTAGTCCTTGTATATGTGCTATAGGTCATGTCAAATGACACAAAAATAAGTTCAAGTTCTTTACCTCCATAGGCAAAGCGTATCATAATGTCAGCCCTGAGACTGTTAACCCTGCTGAACCTTAGGGGCGTCACCTTACTCCATACTTGGAAAGCTTCCTGGATGACAGAGTCAACATCCTCACGCCTCATGTCGGGAGTATAATTATTGATTCTTTGCCAGCAATATGAAAGAGAGAAAAATATGCGCAAACTGATGTCATTATGTTTTATTACAACATTTCACTTCTGTTCACATAATTGGTGAGCAAATCATTTCATACATCAATAGTCCAGATAAGAAAATTTTGTTTACTCAATCACACAAACATTTATCCTTGAGCAACTTCCTTCTTAAACAAAATTCTCTTCATTTATGATTGATAGGTCATCATTTTCAAGGATTTATATACATAGAAATTTAAGTCTTTTTCCCTTGCCCTCATTCTTCTCTGAATTTATCCAAACTTTCTCTTGTCTTTTACTGTTTGTAAATTCAGCTTCATTCTCCTATTATTTACAGCCTTCCTTTTCTCCCCTAGACTGACAACAAAACACTCCTCAGTGAACAGTGTTCCCTTCTAGAGATAAGGAATTTCACTGTTGAGATAGCTTTAGATGAGTGAGGCTTCTTGTCCACTTCCAGATTTAGGACTTGTTGTCTAAATGGTTATGATTTCTAGTAATCAGAACCCTAAAAGAGTAGAAAAATCTGTGACTGTAATTTACCTGTAGGTGATAAAATGTTTCCTCCACACCAGCCTCCCTGGCATTATACTGAAATCATGAACATCAGGCATTCCACATCGAGGCTTACGCATCATGTCCAGAGTCGAGACATCCAGCTTCCCAGTCACTTTTAGCCCCAAAAACTGCTGCATTTCTTGGAGTTTATTCTCCATGATGTTTCCATGGACTTTTATTTTTGTCTCTTTGTCATCATCAATCCTGAGGTCATAAAAGTTTACCAAGTACCTCTGGAAAAATACAGTTAGTGACATATTATTATACATGGAAAGATTTCTATTTCCATGCTGCAGATTTGACTCCATTGTGCACAGATGCTTTTGAATTAAGACAATTAATTATAATGAGAAAAATGTCTTAATTTTAGTGCTGTCAAAGGTTTATGTTATAGTTATTCATAAGAATGATTTCTGGAATCCCACTAAAAGCACTTATGCCTTCAGATTTGTCTATACTTTTTAAAACCTTTCTTAGCACTTAGCACATTGTGTCACTCAGTAAGCCACAAAACTGTTATTGTTAGAATGCCTAAGTTATTAATGTTGGTGTAGAATTTTTGTTTGAAAATCTAAAATCCAACACAATGGGGATCTATGACAAATTCAGAGCTAAAAGTCTTAGAAAATGGGGAGACCACCCAAACTCATAATTAAAGAAAATAAATGAATTGAAAAAATTCTATTAAAAATTAATTGTGAGGGCCCTCTCTGGAGGTGCAGTGGGTTAAAGCACAGCACTAAGAAGCTAACGCCACTTCAGCATGAGTTCGACCTCTGTCCTGGAGGTGATCCACATGGCGTGGCAGACCTCTCCTGACCTGCCCGCTGCTCCCTCAGCAGTGTACTTCATCAGTTGGCCTGTTCTGCTCCCCAGGCTGTCTGGTGAAACCTCTCACCACCCCTGCATCTCTGGCCTCTACCCTGGTTCTATATGCATAAATAAATAAATCATTAAAAATAATTATTTGTGAGTAAATATCTGGGATAAGTGAAGTTTAGTATTTTTGAATCACCATGGCATTCTTAAGTGATTAAATTGTTCAAGCGATTACACAAATATCAGGTTTGGCATTATATGATAAATGTAGATATATCCTAGTGGTAGAACTCAGGCATTTTAGTAGAAGGGACAAATTCACTCAGGAGTAATATACTCCTTCAAAACCAACAACTTTTTTTTTTTTTTTGACATTCCTTTCTGGGAAGGATAAGTTTAGTGCTTAAAGCAAATAGCCTACTAACCAAGTTTTAAAAACCAGTATTCAGCTAGTATTTCTCAAAATAAAACTGGTCAGTGCAATAAATCATAAAGACAAAAATTAGGCTCTATCTATAAGAGCTAAAGAGCTAGTACTTACCATAGCCATTGCCATATCATTTTCTCCTGAGCTTGCCTTGATGGGCAGGGAAGCTATTCCAGAGAATGTGATCTGGAGGACCAATATCAACAGAAGTAACTTCATTCTAAACTTCCCTAGAGTGGTTTAATCTAACTTACTCTGTTCCTGCTAGTACAAGTTCCTTAAATGTCCTTCTTTATATAGTCTTAAACCAGGCTCAGGATAGGTGAAATCCTTGGCATGACTCACAGCTGATATCATTCTTTGATTTACATCAAAAACATGCAAACACAGCAAGACCTCACTCTAGAACAGCAATAGGTCGGCTGTTGATGGCATTTAACTCACCATTTACTGAGGCAACTCAGAATATTACTTCTTAGAAATGATAAATAAGCCCCCACTTCTACCCAGCCTACCAAATAAACCTACCAAATACCAAGTGCTTTAAACATAAGGGAACTTAGAAATGCATTTTGTGAAAGCTTATTATTTGAAATTATTTTTCACTATAAAAAGTTCCTTGTATTCATTGCCAGTAAAACAATCTTTAGAAACAAAACTAAATAGAGAAGTTTAGAAAAACATCCTTCTGTCAGAGGCCGGCTTCCTCGACAACTATGACATAGCGATTTCATGTTCCACAAAGAAGGATTCTCATCCTAATTCTCTGGTGTTTCATGTGTGGTTCAGGCTTAAATCCTGTTTCTCTAGTTTGAGATTTTCAGTTTTCTGAGCTGAGAGCCCATCCCAACAATGTGGCTGGGGTAGAGTGATTCCAGAGGCACAAGTTCCCTACACCCCAAATTATCTAGAGTGGACAGCATGAAGATCAGCCCTTCAGCTTTAGGAGAAAGGGAAAGTTTGCCTCTGCACTTTCTCCCTATCAACTCAGCTCTTTTCCTCCTTCACCTAACTGTCCCTTTAATGTAGAACCTACCTTGTAATCAATAGAGAACATTTGAAGATGGACATCACTTTGTCTTGAAATACTCCAAAGTTACAAGTGTATACCTGGTTCTACAGGAAAAAACTGTGGAGAGGAAGCTGCACATCAGTGTGTTATAATGATGACATGACAAGATGCATCTCTCAGACCTGGAAATGAGGTCTGTTCCCCAGATTGCCCTCAGACTGGGGATCCAGTAAAATGGTTTCCTTGTCACATAAGAAGAAAGAAAGGAGGCCTTCTACATTTTCCCTGGCACCCACCTCGAAATACCTTTTTCAGACTCTTTATTTGACTTCAGGTACCTTCTAGTATTTCATTGAATAAGAGGATAAGTTATATTTGAATACTTTCTCTTGTGATAATTAAATGAAGCATAGTATTTTAAATACTATAGACCATCACTGCTCACTGATATTCTTTCCCTTTCCGTTGGCCTGAAAGGAGAACATTTGCAGCTCAAGTTAGTAACTAGATAGAGCTCTAGGGTTCATAAAGAAAATAACATCAAAGTATAAGATAATCATTTCAAATACTGAGGGATGTGACAGTTTGGCTAAGCAGGAAATATGGGATTTATGAGACAGTGAGAGGGACTGGTTTTCCATTAAAAACTGTGCCACAAGGATCCACCTGGGTTATGTACCACTGTGTTCCTGATGCCCCCAAACTACCATGAAGTGAGGAGTTGCTCAATAAATACGTGTATATGAATCTAGTTGGACAGAACTTCCTTTGTAAGGAAAACCATTACACTGAGGGTAAATGGTTTCCTAAACCTCACACAAGAGCTGATCTTATGTGTATCAGGTAGGAATTTGGTTTTTAGGAGACTTTAAGCAGTATCTGGAAAGTCTGTGTTGTAAGACACAAGTCAGCATGGCAAAGGACAGAAAGGAAATATAAGAAAGTCCTTGCTGGAGATTTTCTAAAAACAGAAAACTATAATGGTCTCTGGGTCTTGACTCATCAGGAACCTCCAATGGATTGAGTATGAGGCAACAAGTGAGTTTGGGGAGATAGGAGATATTATAGTGCTTGCATGTAGGTTCAGGGTTGAGTTGCTTAGAATTTTAGTTCCATTATTTAGCCTAATTCCTGACATACCTTAAGGGTTCCGTGATTGTTTTCTCTGCCCCTTTGCTTCATTCTTACATGAGACATTTGAAAGAGGCTGGTGTAGGGAATGTGAAAGGATGGGAAGTGTAAGTCCAGACTCTGTCCTGTGATAGAGTTACAGAAAGGTTATTTAGACCCAGACTGATAGCTGTGGTTCCCAGCACAGACATTGCTTCCCAAGGTCACATCAGGGAACATGAGAGTCAACCTTGTGAAGAGCATGTTGATAAAAGTATGGCAAGTAGTAAGATCAGAGTTTCTCATGAGGGGTGATATGCGCTGGGGTGATATACGCCAACTAAAGTTTCTTTATTAAAAGGAAGAGTTTATAGTACAAATTTTCTTAAACTTCCAACGTTCCATTCCATTGTTTGCTTGCTCAACCAGACACCAGGACATTCAACTGTGAAACATCTTAGCTAGCTGTGGTGTCACCCACAAAGATACAGAAGACATGGAATAGAGAAATCAGCAAGGCCCAGGAAGAAGAAATGCTCCCATATATACAAAGAAATATGTTGGCCAACCCCTTTCACCAGGGGCTTTTTTTTTTTTTTCATTTTTTTTATTACAAAAGTTTATTTTTACATCATTTTGTACATTTTTTTTCCTTCTCAATTGTAATCCCCGCGGGTTTCCCATCACCAAGTCACCCGTGTGCCATCACCATAATCCCGTGCATTTCCCTCCCCCACCCCGTTTTTGATCCCATTCCCCACTCCACCCCCACAAAATGTCTCTGGTATATGGTTGTTCATTATTTTTGTTATTTTCTCACCTGGTCCATTATACTCCTGCTATGAGTGAAACCATCTGGTATTTTTCTTTCTCTTTCTGGCTTATCTCACTAAACATGATCTTTTCCAGCTCCATCCAAGTTGCTGCAAAAGACATGTGTTTTTCTTTTTTGGTTGCTGAGTAATATTCCATTGTATATATGTACCACATCTTTTTTATCCAGTCATCTACTTTTGGGCATTTGGGCTGCTTCCATGTTTTTCCAATTGTAAATAAAGCAGCAATAAACATGGGTGTACAGGTATCTTTTTCAATCAGTGTTTTTGTGTCCTTTGGGTAGATACCTAGGAGTGGGATTGCTGGATCGTAGGGAAGCTCCATGTTTAACAGTTTGAGGAACCTCCAAAACAGTTTTCCATAGTGGTTGTACTAGTTTGCATTCCCACCAGCAGTGCAGGAGAGTTCCTTTTTCTCCACATCCTCGCCAACATTTGTTGTTGCTAGTTGTTTGAAGATGTGCCATTCTCACTGGGATGAGGTGGTATCTAATTGTGGTTTTAATTTGCATCTCCCTTATTATGAGTGATGTTGAACATTTTTTCATGTGCTTGTTGGCCATCTGCATTTCCTCTTTGGAGAAGTGTCTTTTTAGCTCTACTGCCCATTTTTTGATGGGGTTGTTTACTTTATTTTTGTTGAGTTTCATCAGTTCTCCGTATATTTTTGTGATCAGTCCTTTATCGCTACTTTTGTGTGAGAAAATGTTTTCCCAATTAGTGATCTTTCTGTTTGTTTTTAGTAATGTCTCTTTTGCTGTACAGAAGCTCTTTAACTTCATGTAGTCCCATCTGTTATTTATCTTTGCCTTCACTATTGTGGCGTTGGATGCTCTGTCTTTAAAGATGTCACTGAAGTGTATGTCGTGTAGTGTTTGACCCATCTTTGCTTCTAGGTATTTTATGGTTTCCATTCTTATGAAAAATATGGAACGCTTCACGAATTTTCATGTCATCCTTGCGCAGGGGCCATGCTAATCTTCTCTGTATCATTCCAATTTTAGTATATGTGCTGCCAAAGCGAGCACTCACCAAGGGCTTTTTTATGGAAGAAGAAAACTTAGCTAGGTAGCCCTCTCCTTTTATGGATGAAGAAATGGAAATACAAAAAGAGAAGTGAATTGCCTACGAAGACTTCTGACAGGTCTCCTGACTCTGATCTGGCTTGTTGTTATAAAACATTTCACTTCATCATGTATCACTTTGATTTTTGTTCATATTTGTCTCCCTGTTATTATCTCACTACCAGAAACCCTACAAAAATGGAACTATGAGGCCCTGTAGCCTTTAGTTAAAGTCAAGAGATCCCCTTGACTGTTGGGGAACAAGAGTACCCAGGCATTCCCAGGAATGGTAAGTGCATCTGGATCCCCAGGAGGCTGGCGGTACGTGTAGATTCTCTCAGGGTGACCTGTGTACTTATTTGCTACATCACCTGCCTCCTCCTGCTTCTTAGATACCTTTTTTGATGCTAAGCTTCTCAAGGAATTGACCCAGAGCTCCTCTGAAAAGCGTGATGTTTAGAGTCATCCTAGCCAGTTAGCTTTTCCATGGCTCATTTTCTTCATATGTAAAATCTGAATAATAGTGAGGTTTGGCTAAGAATAAGTGAATTACCCCATGGCAAGCACCCGCTCAATACCTGTTCATTCTTTGCCTTCTCCCATAACCTAAGTATACATGCGTTGGTCATGCTGTGGTTGGATTAAATATGCTAACATTTCCCACCTAAGAGAAATGTGAACCTAATAAGAAGTCAAGTATTTAAGGATACTTCTTTGGATATAGATTTTGCAAATGTGTAGGGGAATGGAACTTTTCCACACTTCCTCAAAGCTCTTTGTTTTTAACCATAAATGCATCTATACCCAGCAAGGAAATACACACAAACTGCAGAGGAGGGGATATTGATGGTGGAGCCCTCCAGTGAAGTCCCCTCCCACCTTCTTCCAGAATGAACTGGAACTTGAATTGACCTGAAGCCATTCAACAGTGCTCTCTGGTGCTCCCTAAAGAGAGAATGTCAGAATAACAGTTAAGAAACCTACTGACGTCCAGTCCTGTGCTCAGTACAAAATTGTGTTGTGGTGTTCCCTAATCACAAGCCATTCTCCCCAGGTTGCTCTGATGGCTCAGATCCTGAGATCTGATGGCTCAGATCTCTCAGAACTGAGTTTAACTTTGCAATCTGTATTAATGGGAAGAACAAGGCTTTGAAATAGACTTAGCCTCAAACCTCAGCTATGTTGCCTACGAACTGT